CCCCTCCCCCCCCTCCCCTCGCCATTCCCGACCTTTTCCAACATTTTTATCCTCCTGGAGAGTTTTCCATCCATTCCCCCCTCCCCCCAAAACGTTCCCAATTCCCACAAGGAATTTTTAGCTGGTCTTTTAGGAGTTTTTAGGTCTTTTCTCCTCCCCCATTTTGAAGGGTTTGGGAATTCCCACATCCCGAAAATTATGGGTTGTGGGGGAGGGGTGAGGCGTCTGGAGCCGGAATTCCATGAATCCAGGGGCTGGGAATTCTGGAATCCGTGGTCTGGGGAATCAGGGGAGTCTGGGAATTCCGGCTGTGGGAGATCCGAGGTCTGGAAAATCCGGGAATGTCGGAGCAGGGCTGGGTGTTCCCTCCCCCCCCCCCATCCCAATCCCCAATCCCGCTGGGATCTGGGAATGGGAAGAACCTTCCCAAATCCTTCCCAAATCCTTCCCTTCCTTCCTTCTCTTTTTCCTGCTTTTCCTTGGGAATTCTGGCCCCGGGATCAGCCATTTTGTGCCGGTTTTTCTCTGGGATTTGGGGGTTGGATGAGTTGGATCCCGTCCCTGATTCCCTGGAAAAAAAAAGGAACTTGGAGGTTTTTATTTTTAAATCCCATAAATATCAGGAATTTGTATTTTTAACGTCCAAAGGGAACTCCTGCAAATCCCAGGAGGATCAGGGATCATCCCAATGGATCAGGGATCATCCCAATGGATCAGGGATCATCCCAATGGATCAGGGATGGGATCAGGGATCATCCCAATGGATCAGGGATCATCCCAGATGGATCAGGGATCATTCCCAGATGGATCAGGGATCATCCCAATGGATCAGGGATCATCCCAATGGATCAGGGATCATCCCAATGGATCAGGGAACATTCCCCGATGGATCAGGGATCATTCCCAGATGGATCAGGGATCATCCCAATGGATCAGGGATCATCCCAATGGATCAGGGATCATTCCCAGATGGATCAGGGATTTTCTCTGGAATTTCTGCTGGCGCTGCCAACCTTTGCTCCTGGATGCCTTTGGAGAAATCCCGGGATCTCCTCCCTTTCCCACTGGAATATCCCTGCTTTTGGCCCTGGGGGAGCCGGATCCAAACCCCCTGGATCCCCTGGAAAACCGGGAATCATCACTGCTGGGATCCCCCCCCTGGAAAGAATTCCAAGATCCAGTTCCCTCTGCTCATCCCACCCTGGCAGCCTCTGGAATCTCTGGCCAGGATCCCATTCCCAGGCCGGGCTGATCCCGGTGGGAGACACCCCATGGATTTGGCTCCGGTTTTCCCGGGGTTTGGGAACGTTTTCCCAGGGTTTTCCTGGGATTTAGGAAGGTTTTCCCGGGTTTTAGGAAGGTTTTCCCGGGGTTTTCCCAGATTTTGGGAAGGTTTTCCTGGATTTTGGGAAGGTTTTCCCAGGTTTTAGGAAGGTTTTCCCGGGGTTTTCCCGGGTTTTGGGGAGGTTTTCCCGGGTTTTGGGGAGGTTTTCCCGGGTTTTGGGAAGGTTTTCCGGGGGTTTGGGAAGGTATTCCCAGATTTTGGGAAGGTTTTCCCGGGGTTTTTGGGAGCAGAGCGGCGGCAGAGGCGGCTCCGGATCCCGGGATGTGCCGATTCCCGGGAGCGGCGCCGCGGGCGGGGCCGGCTGAGCCGGTTTGGGAGGTTTGGGATGTTTGTTTGGGATGAGCCGGTTTGGGATGTTGGTTTGGGATGAGCTTTGGGGGTTTGTTCCTGGATTTTCCCCCCCCCCAAGGCGGCGTCTCCGGAACTTCCTGGGATCTCAGGATGCTGGGGGGATCCGTGGGAATGAGGAATTCTGGGATGAGGGGGAGGCTGGGGATACTCAGGAACGCTCAGGGATTTGGGAATTCTCAGGGATTTGGGAATTCTCAGGGATTTGGGAATGCTGGGGCTGTGTCACCTCCCTGGCCCTGGAGCCCCCCCCGGTGTGGTGGGAGCGGTGAGGGGGGGGGAATCCGGAATTCCCACGGGAAGGGGGGGAAGGGGGATCCCTCCATCCGTGGGGAGGGGGGGCAGGAGTTGGATCTGCTCCTGGATCCATCCCTGGATCCGCTCCTGGATCCACCCTGGATCCGCTCCTGGATCCACCCTGGATCCGCTCCTGGATCCGTCCCTGGATCTGCTCCTGGATCCATCCCTGGATCTGCTCCTGGATCCATCCCTGGATCTGCTCCTGGATCTGCTCCTGGATCTGCTCCTGGATCCATCCCTGGATCTGCTCCTGGATCCACCCCTGGATCTGCTCCTGGATCCATCCCTGGATCTGCTCCTGGATCTGCTCCTGGATCTGCTCCTGGATCTACCCCTGGATCCACCCCTGGGATCTACTCCTGGATCTGCTCCTGGATCTGCTCCTGGATCCATCCCTGGATCTGCTCTTGGATCTGCTCCTGGATCCATCCCTGGATCCACCCCTGGGATCTCCATCTCAATCCACCCCTGGATCTGCTCCTGGTTTTCCATTTCTGGATCCACCCCTGGATCCACCCCTGGATCCACTCCTGGTTTTCCATTCCTGGATCCACTTCTGGATCCTTTCCTCGTTCTCCACTCCGGGATCCACTCTGGGATCCCTGTCTTGATCCACTCCTGAATCCATCCCTGGGTCCACTCTGGGATCTGCTGCTCTCCACCCTGATCCATCCCTGGATCCATCCCTGGATCCAATTCTGGAATCCACTCCTGGATCCATCCCCTGATCTCCACTCTGGGATCTCCCCCTGGATCTCCAGGAATCCTTGGGATACTCCTGTCATTCCCAGCAGGAATCCCTGGGAATGGATCCCTGGGATGCTCCTGTCATTCCCAGCAGGAATCCCTGGGATGCTCCTGTCATTCCCAGCAGGAATCCCTGGGATGCTCCTGTCATTCCCAGCAGGAATCCCAGGGATGCTCCTGTCATTCCCAGCAGGAATCCCAGGGATTCTCTGGGCTGTTCCCATCGGATCCGGGGGCGGCTCCGGGGCCTGCCCGGACCTGCCGGGCTGGATTTGGGAGCAGTTTGGGAGCGGGAGACGTGCGGGAAGAGCCCCATTCCCGTGCTTTGGGAAGCTGGAGCTGCATCCCGGCGTCATTTCCAGGCATTTCTGGCTGATCCCATGGGAGGCTCATCCCGGGAATGCCGATGTTTCGCTCCCGGCGTTCCCGAACGGACCCCACGGAATTCCCGCCCCGTTCCCGGGGTGTTTGTGCCGGACCTGGCTCTGATCCGCAGGGAAAGGCCTGGCCTGGCTGTTCCTGAGCAGGATGGGAATGGGATTGGGATGGGGATGGGATCGGGATGGGATGGGAATGGGATGGGGATGGGATGGGGTTGGAATTGACTCTGGAGTTTGGAAGGGGCTGGGATTGACTCTGGAGCTGGGATGGGGTTGGAATTGGCTCTGGAGTTGGGAAGGGGCTGGAATTGTCTCCAGGGCTGGAATTCTCTCCAGGGCTGGGCTGGGCTCCGGAGCTCCTGCCCGTTTGGTTTGATCCTCCAGACGATGGAGGACGCGCTGCCCATTCCCTGTGCCATTCCCTGTCCCATTCCCTGTCCCATTCCCTGTCCCATTCCCTGTCCCATTCCCTATCCCATTCCCTGTCCCATTCCCTGTCCCATTCCCTGTCCCATTCCCTGTCCCATTCCCTGTCCCATTCCCTGTGCCATTCCCTATCCCATTCCCTGTGCCATTCCCTATCCCATTCCCTATCCCATTCCCTGACATTCCATGTCATTCCAGGATGGAGCGGATGACAGAGGATGTGCTGCCCGTGTCCCTATCCCATTCCCTATCCCATTCCCTATCCCATTCCCCATTCCCTGACTCCCATTCCATATTTTCCAGGATGGAGCGGATGACGGAGGACGCGCTGCCCGTGTCCCTATCCCATTCCCATTCCCATTCCCTGATATTCCATATTTTCCAGGATGGAGCGGATGACGGAGGACACCCTGCCCGTGTCCCTATCCCATTCCCATTCCCTGACATTCCATATTTTCCAGGATGGAGCGGATGACGGAGGACGCGCTGCGGCTGAACCTGCTGAAGCGGGGGCTGGAGGGGGGTGCAGATGATCGGGAGGACGTGCTGGCTGTGTCCCATTCCCATTCCCATTCCCTGACATTCCATATTCTCCAGGATGGAGCGGATGACGGAGGACGCTCTGCCCGTGTCCCTATCCCATTCCCATTCCCTGATATTCCATATTTTCCAGGATGGAGCGGATGACGGAGGACGCTCTGCCCGTGTCCCTATCCCATTCCCATTCCCTGACATTCCATATTTCTCCAGGATGGAGCGGATGACGGAGGACGCTCTGCCCATGTCCCTATCCCATTCCCTGACTCCCATTCCCTGTTTCTCCAGGATGGAGCGGATGACGGAGGACGCTCTGCCCGTGTCCCTATCCCATTCCCATTCCCATTCCCTGACATTCCATATTCTCCAGGATGGAGCGGATGACGGAGGACGCGCTGCGGCTGAACCTGCTGAAGCGGGGGCTGGAGGGGGGTGCAGATGAGCAGGAGGACAGGCTGGCTGTGTCCCTATCCCATCCCCATTCCCTGATATTCCCTGTCATTCCAGAATGGAGCAGATGACGGAGGACGCGCTGCCCGTGTCCCTATCCCATTCCCCATTCCCTGATATTCCCTGTTTCTCCAGGATGGAGCGGATGACGGAGGACGCTCTGCGGCTGAACCTGCTGAAGCGGGGGCTGGAGGGGGGTGCAGATGAGCGGGAGGACGTGCTGGCTGTGTCCCTATCCCATTCCCATTCCCTGATATTCCATATTTTCCAGGATGGAGCGGATGACGGAGGACGCGCTGCGGCTGAACCTGCTGAAGCGGGGGCTGGAGGCGGGCGCGGACGAGCGGGAGGACGTGCTGGCCAAGCGGCTGAAGGTGGAGGGCCACGAGGCCATGGAGCGCCTCAAGATGCTGGCCCTGCTCAAGAGGAAGGACCTGGCGGGGCTGGAGGCGCCG